GGAGGAGGACGGGTCGACTAAGCCGTTCGCAGAAACCCTCCACCTCTTGCACGCGTCGGATGTCTGGCGATGGTCCCGAAGCTGGCCCTGAGCCGCCCCGTCGGCTGTCCACCGCTGGAGCCGAGCAGCGTGCAAGGGCTGAGCCCACCCGCCCGCCCCTCCCCTCCCCGGGGAGACGTACGACTCGGGTTCGGGGGTCCCTGGTCGGCCTGACGGGCCCAGCAAGAGAATGACGAGACGCCACCTGAACTTTGACGCGAGCTCCCGCTACAAGCATCCCACGAAAACTGGACCGTCACAAGCGAGGACGCGCTCGTCAAAAAGCGTCGGCAAACCCGATACCCGGCGCACTCGAGTCTTACCTTCCCCCCCCCTGGTCACGGTTCGCGCTGGCACCGTCTGAGAACGGCTACTGGCAGCCCGCTCCCAGACGGAAGGCGCTGGCGCAAATCGTTACGCTACCGCCTCGACCCCACCGTCGCCCAGAGAAGAGGATCCGTGCGGATCGAGGGAGGGAGGAGGGAGGATGGAGGGGAGGGTGGGAGGATGAGTGGACCCGTTGAGAGAAGCAGACAAGAACGAGCCTCTGTGCCTCCAGCGTGCGGCGGGGGCCGCTTGCTATTTGCAAGACACCTACAGCACTTACAGTCGTTGTTATTGAAACCGACCTTTGTCAAAATGTTGGCGGATTAGCGGCAAATCGCGGCAACCAGTTAGCAGCAAATAGCGTTACAAGCCCTGCGCCAACCGTCCCCCAACCACCCCCGATTCGCCGCTAATGGCCATTAAAGGCCAACAAAACAACTGCCGGTAGGCTTCCAACAAAAACTAACCTAACAGCACTACCGTCGGAGTCCCACATACAGGGGCGCAGAAGGGTCCAACGCCTTGCTTGGCCTGTTCTTGTCTGAAGGATGATCCTGCACCGTGGCCTGCTTCCAGCGGGATCCGGCCCCATCGAACAACAAAAAAAACCACTCTGGATGAAAAACTCGCTCCGTGGGGGGAGGCGACAAGGGAGAAGGGAGGATGAGGGAGGAGAGGAGGGAGGAGAGAAGAGGCGAGGAGAGAGGAGAGAGGAGGCTACATAGGAGGAAGGAGGGCAGGCGGGAAGGAGGAGAGGAAGAGGGGCTGAGGACTAAGGGACCTTCGTCATCCTCGTCGAGGGCTCCCAGGGCCAGCGTCTCGGAAACGTCGATCGCGCGGGAGCAGAGGTAGACGAGGCAGAAGTCTACACAAGCTCGACCGCGTACCCTCGTACGCCACGAACATATATACACAGACACCCTCCGACGAGTTCTACATGGCTGATCAGAATCAGCATCGAACGGGCGGCCCCTGAACAGCACACTGGTGTAAACAGTAATAAACTGCCAACGCGGCGCATGGAGACCCACTGCCCACCTCCATCCCGCCCGCCCCTCCTTCCGTCTTCCCACCCCTTCACCCATCCGCCATATCCACTCTCTTTACCTCCCCTGTGCCGTACCACCTCTCATTTCCTCCTTCCCTCCCTCCATTCCTCCCTCCCGTACCGAGTTGGTCTCCAAATGGGCCTCCGTGACACCCAGCGCCGACCCAACCAGCAAGGCAATAACGACGAGGAGGTAGAAATGGCCAGCCAAGTAAGCGACCAAACAACTGGCAATAGGCATCATCCTCCCGCCTCCCTCGGCCTCCTCTTCCCCCTCCACGTCATCTTTTTCTGCCGCCCAACACTCCTTCTCCTGTCTCCTACTCCCCCTCATCGATTCTACACCTGCTCCACCTCCTCCTCCTCCTCCTTCTCCTCCTTCTCCTCTTCCAGAATAACAAAACTGCATAAACATGAACTGTCGGAGGTCTGCAGGAATTGCTTGGATTGGCGATGGATCCCCCCATCTGGCGCGCGGAGCGCCAGGTGCGGAGCTGAAGGCGCCGACAGGGGGGGCCGAACGCAGATCCAAGAATACGGGCGTAGCGCCGATAAGTATATGCTCATGCAGTGAGTTCCTCGATTCTCCCAACCTCCTCCAACCCTACTATCCTCCTCCTCCTCCTCCTCCTCCTCCTCCTCCGCCTCCTCCTCCTCTCCTCCTCCTGAGGAACCAACAAACAATATAAACATAAACGTTCGGAGGTCTGGACGCTGGACCTTCCTCGCTCGCGCGGGGAGCACGCCAAGTGCGGCCCCGGAGAAACCGCCAGGGAGGACAAGCTCAGGTCAAAGCAATCAAAGCGCAGCGCCGAACAGACATGGTACATCTATGCAGTGTACTGTTCATCCAACCTCCTCCTCCTCATCATTGAAGCACATCATCAACATCAGCAGCAGCAGCAGCAACATCATCATCATCATCATCATCATCATCATCATCATCATCAGCATCATCATCATCATCATCAGCAGCAGCAGCATCATCATCATCAGCAGCATCCTGGTCCTCAGCCTCATCATCATCACCACCAGCAGCATAATCATCATCATCATCATCATCATCATCATCATCATCATCATCATCATCATCATCATCATCATCATCACCGGCATCATCATCATCATCATCATCACCATCAGTCATCACCATCAGTCATCAACATCAGCATCATCACAACCACCATCATCTGCACCGCCACCATCATAATCAGAGTCATCAGCATCGTACTCATCACCCGCATCATCATCAGCAGCAGCATCATCATAACCATCATCATCATCATCATCACTATCATCAGCATCATCAGCAGCATCAGCATCATCATCGTGATCATCATCAGCATCATCATAATTAACATCAGATTTGTCATCCTTACCAGCATCAGCATCACCATCAGCAGCAGCATCAGCATCAGCATCAGCAGCATCACAATCAGCATCAGCCATCATCATCACAACCATCGTCATCATCACCATCATCAGCAGCATCATCATCAGTATCATCAGCATCATCAGCAGCATAATCAGCAGCTTCTTTATCATCAGCATAATCAGCATCATCATCATCAGCATCATCAGCATCATCAGCATCATCAGCATCATCATCATCATCATCATCATCATCATCATCATCATCATCATTCCCCATCCTCCCCCAAAAAAAACCTTCTCCTCCCATCCTTCTCCTGACGAAGGCGATAGAACCCGTCGGATGCAGCCCTCCTCCTCCTCCTGCCTCTCCTCCTCGTCCTCCTGCTCCTGCTCCCTCCTCTCTCCTCCCGACTCCCTCATCCCTCCTCCCCCCTCCCACTCTCCGTCTCCATCCCCACGCCTTCCCTTCGACCCGACCCGAAGGGCGGGGCGGGGGGTGGCAAGGCCTCAGGCAAGAGACCTTCCGGCACATCGGGCAGTGGAGCCGCCCGGTCTCGGCGGCGGGCCGTGGAGCGCGCGGTGAAAGCGCGGGGCGCGGGAGGCGGGAGGCAGGGCCCTGCTCGTCGTCGCCTGGTTCCTGGTAAAAGGGGGTCTTCCGAAATGGGGTCGCAAATGATACGTGTGTATATATATACAATGTATATATGTGTGATAGTTTGTATATGTGTATTTGTGTACAATATATATATATATATACAAGATGTTGTTGGCTCGCTTCGCTTCGCCACAACATCTTGTCCCTCATCCTCATCCTTGGCGCGGGAGCGCGGGTCTGGTACCTCGCCGCGCTATGTGGTCACAGAATGTGGCGAGCTCGTGAAATTTCATTGCCATAGGGGTGTAAACTTGATGTTTGTCGCGAGCTCGACGGCTCAGGGCTGCGTGGGTGTGTTTTTGTAAGGAGTGAACATGTTTGGAAGTGAAGAACCACCCGACGGGCCGAACCAATTTATGGTTCACGTCGACGGCTGTTTTTTTCTTCGGGGCCCCGGATGGGAGCGTCTGGCGCTCTGCGGGCACGCTGGCGCCGAGGGGCCGTCGTGTGCGTGCGTGCGTGTGTGTGTGTCTGTTTTCGTAAGGAATGAGCATGTGCGCGGACGCAGAGCCACCCGACGGGCCGAATCAATTTTTGGTTCACGCTGACGGTTGCTTTTTCTTCGTCGTGCTCGGGATGGGGGGCGTCTGGCGCCCTCCGGGCACGCTGGCGTCGAGGGGCTGTCGTGGGTGTGGGTTTTCGTAGGGAAAGAGCATGTCCCCGGGCGCGGAACCACCCGACGGGCCGCACCAATTTTTGGTTCACGTCGACGGTTGCTTCTTCTTTTTCGGGCCCGGGATGGGGGGCGTCTGGCGCCCTCCGGGCACGCCGGCGTCGAGGGGCTCTCGTGGGTGTGGGTTTTCGTAAGGAATGAGCATGTGTGCGGACGCAGAGCTACCCGACGGGCCGAACCAATTTTTGCTTCACGTTGACGGCTGCTTGTTCTTTTTCGGGCCCGGATGGGGGGCGTCTTGCGCCCTCCGGGCACGCTGGCGTCGAGGGGCTGTCGTGGGTGTGGGATTTCGTATGGAAAAAGCATGTCCCGGGGCGCAGAACCACCCGACGGGCCGAACCAATTTTTGGTTCACGTTGACGGCTGCTTCTTCTTTTCCGAGCTCGGGATGGGGGGCGTCTGGCGCCCTCCGGGCACGCCGGCATCGAGGGGCTGTCGTGGGTGTAGGTTTTCGTAAGGAAAGAGCATGTCCTGGGGCGCGGAGCCACCCGACGGCCCGAACCAATTTTTGGTTCACGTTGACGGCTGCTTGTTCTTTTTCGGGCCCGGATGGGGGGCGCCTGGCGCCCTCAGGGCACGCCGGCGTCGAGGGGCGGGGGGGGGGGGCGAATTAGGTGACGCCCATCCGGGGGGGGGGGGGGGTCCCTTATCATTTGATTGGAAAAAGGAATATATACATATATATATATATATATATATATATACATATATATGTATATATATATGTGTGTGTGCATATGCATATCCATATATACCCCAACGCACGCACACACATGCATACACATGTACATCTACACATGCAACTCTCACGGAGTAACGATGCCAAAAGCACGCGTTGTGCCCGCATCTACGAACGATTGCACGACCTAGCGCGCACATTCTTGAGAACCCCTTGCAAAGGACCTATGAGCCCCAATCTAACTCCCTCCCTCCGAGACCCTTTTGAGACGAAACCAGAACGAGAACACTTTCGGGTAATGATAGGTCGAGATTATCTCGGATCCGGCGGCTTGGACTCGGACTCGGACTTGCCATAGGAGGGCCGGCGGGGGCCCAGCAAGTTGGCGCCGTGGCGCCGCGCAGCTGCACGGCCCAGTGATCGATCGCCGCGGCCTTGTCAAACCTTTCCGGAACGCTCTGAGAGCGTTCCGGAACGCTCTGGAACTGATCTATCCTGGTCCTAGCCCGTCTGGTCCCTCCTTGACCCCCTCCCTCCTCCTTGTAAATTCTGGGGGGGATCTGCATCTTTGCCCCTTACACACAAAAAGGGCCATGGCAACCTGGGCGGAGGCAGATCCAAGGCAGACGTCTAACCGTCCAACCCGTTTTCGCTGCGCGCTTGCTTCGGCAGGCAGCTTACCGCGAGGTCAAGAGCTGCTTGGGCAGCGGTTCCCTCATCGCAACGCGTTGACCCCCTGGACTTTCATACTATTATTGTGTTGCTCCAGCGAGGCTCTCGGCTGGTAACCTGACATGAGATGCGCGACCGTCCCAGACCCCCCGGTGCTCAAAACCTCCTCCTCCGTCTCATTGCGGCAAAACCACGAGGGCGGGTTTGGAGTAATCTTCGGCCTCAGGAGGTCTTCGCCAGGCCCAGGGACCGCCAACATACACGATTATAGGGGGTCTTCGCCAGGCCCAAAAACCGCCAACAAAAATACTCAGGATGAAGAGCCGGTCCTGGAGAACGGGATCGCAGATCTCGGGGGGACAACGTTGAAAAAAAAAGTGGCCTCCCTCCTCCTCCCCGTTCCCCTCCTCCTCAATCCTCCCCTTGTTGCTATCCTCGTCCTCCTATCTCACCATGTTTTCCACTTGTCGTCGTCCTGCCCGTTCCCTCATCATCATCATCATCATCATCATCATCATCATCATCATCATCATCATCATCATCATCATCATCATCATCACCATCACCATCACCATCACCATCACCATCACCATCACCATCACCATCACCATCACCATCACCACCATAATCATCATCCTCATCATCATCAGCATCAGCATCATCATCATCAGCATCATCATCAGCATCATCATAATCATCATCATCATCATCATCATCATCAACAGCATCATCATCATCATCATCATCATCATCATCATCATCATCATCATCATCGTCATCGTCATCGTCATCGTCATCATCAGCATCATCATCACAACCACCACCATCATCATCATCATCATCATCATCGTCATCATCAGCATCAGCATCATCACCACCACCACCATCATCATCAGCAGCAGCATCATCATCATCATTACCATCGTCATCGTCATAATCAGATTCATCATCATCATCATCATCATCATCATCATCATCAGCATCATCATCATCATCATCATCATCATCATCATCATCATCATCATCATCATCATACCATCATCATCATCATCATCATCATCATCATCATCATCATCATCATCATCATCATCATCATCCTCATCCTCATCATCATCCTCATCATCATCATGACCATCATCTTTTCCCTCCTCCTCCTGCTCCGCCTCCTCCTCATTTTCCTTTTCCACTTACTCCTCCTCCTCCTCCTCCTACCCCTCCTCCTCTTCCTCCGCCTCCTCCTCCTCCTCTTCCTTCTCCTCCTCCACCTCCTCCTCCACCTGCAGTTGTAATCTTCGGATCCTACGAAAGAAGAGTCCCGCGGAGCCGAACTCCCTGACCTACTTGCGAGCAGGACCTGCCCCGAAACAGGACGCCTATGCATTCTCACCTCTGGGGCCCGGCGAGTTTCCACCCTCTCCGAGCATGTCTTGGGGCCCTGCGCCGAACGAAGCCGGAGAAAGCGGGAAAAGGAGCCCCCCAAAACGATTGGACTGGGGTTCCCGTCCTGACAGAAACCGTCCCAGGTCCGACCGAACCAGACGACGGGCCGACGATCGGGGCCGAGACGAGAAAAGCCTGTCTGCAGGCTCGGCTGAGCCGCACACTTGCCGACGCGCGTAAGCGCCACAGCACTGAGCTTACAGAAGACGATCGCCCGATCCCCCCCCAAAAGCCCCTCCCGAACCCCCCGCGCCCCCGATCCCCACGCACCGCCCGCAGCTTATTGGAGGGATGGGCGATCGCCACGGACTGAGGCATTCCAGGGCAACGGCCCCGACAACTCTGGATCGAAGCCCCCTTCCCAACCCTACACATATAACAGCCCCAAGCCCGTCCCAACCTCAAAACCGAGTGCCCGTTCTCGCCAAACGCGAGGACGACCGAATTTCGAAGGGCACCCCTCAGCAGCCAATTTGTTCAAAACCGCGCCGCGATGGGCGCCCACGATCACTGCGGCACCTGCGGCCGCTCCGAGCTGGGCCGCCCTCCTCTCCACCACCTCGAAAATCGGGTTGACTTGGCACCGCCCTACGCGCTGGCATCAGCGCATCTGTTAACGCGGTGCCGGTGCCACGGCGCCCCCGCTGCCTCCGCTGCCGCCCAGCTGGCGAAGGCACGCGCCCAGCGGAGGCTGACCGCCTGGCGAGCCAGGTCCCCAACGAGGGCCCAGACCTCCATCCACAAGTCGGCGTGGAATGAGTCGACGGCCACGCGCCAGCCTGGCACGCTGCCGCACGTGCCTCTTCTCTGCGTCGCGTCCGCATTCATGGAGATGACGGCGCAGCCACTCCTCGTCAACTCTCTCCACTCTGGGAAACAAGCCAAGCCGGCGACGCAGGCGGCGCCGCTGGCCCCCCCCAGCGCAGCGGCCCTCCACGTCGGCACTCCTCCTGCTGAGCGGGGCGAGGCAGTTCCTCCAACCCCGAGCTGGCCAGGCACCTCTTACCACGCCAATGGCCTCGCCCTCAGCAGCAGCAGCACCGGATTGTTTGACCTCGTGGAAGTCGAGTCGGGCGGCTACCTCAGCCGCGCCGCCACGGCAGAACACCCCGTGCTTCGCCGTCCCTGGCGCCGCCTCGCAGGGCACGCACACGGGGCTGAGCGCTGCCCGCTCCTGGCATGAGTCAGCCTGCGTGACCAGACCTGCGCAGAAGAGCGACTAGGCCACCTGCTCGGCATCCGCTTTCAGGCGCAGCGCGGCCAGCGCTGCCCTCGTTGGGTGCAGCGTCGGTGGTCCTCCGATCGCCCATCCCAAGTGCTCCTCCTGCAGCATCCCCATCAGCGACCGATGGGCCCCTGCCTCAATGAACTGGCAGACCCGCTCGGAGCTGAAGGACTGGAGGGCGATCTCGTCACCCTCGTCCGTGGCCCAGGCTCTGCAATTTGCTGCCGCCCAGCCGATCTTGACCTTGTCGGCCGGGCCCCACACCTGCCCCCAAGTCTCAGGCTGGGCCGCCTCGAAGGCCGTCTCCAGGCTGGAGTCGTTGCGCAGCGCCTCGTAGAGATTCCTGGCCCAGGCCTCCGACGGCAGCGCGTTGGCCGGATAGGCGGGGTCTAATCGCCAGCCCTGCCGTGGCTGCAGCGCGAACTGCAGCGCCCTGTTCTTGCTGCCAGCAGCTCCTGCCGGCGCCTGGCCGCTGACTGCCCCGGCCTTTTCCAGCGCGACCGTCGGCGCGCCGACCGCCCTGGCCCCGCGGGAGATGGGCGCCGCGCCCCCCGCGCCTGAAGACGCTGCCCAGCTCGGCCGCCGCGCGACGGAGCCTCGTGCATCGCGACGACCTGGCGGCCAGGTGCGCCACTTGGCAGCGCGGGACCGACGGTGCACGAGGCCTTCGCCCTCATGCCGGAGTCGACCCCCGGGCTCTTCACCGCCTCCCGCAGCCTGGAATCCCGGCGCCACAAGCGATGGGCCGTGCGCACCCCGGCCGCCCCGACGCCGCTGATTATATTCCCCGCGGCGAGGGGGACCTCGAAGCCCACCGCGCCCAGTCGCTGGCAGAGGTCCCGCGTTGCGCCGAAGACCGCGAAGTCGACGTCCCTCGACTTCCCGCACGCTGCCAAAGTGATGTCGCCCACCACCAGGTAGCCGCGCACTGACTAGCGCGGCGCCACGACCGCTTCCATCAACGAAAACAGCACGAACGGTAGCAAGGCCCTCGCGAAGGCGCAGCCAGCCACGATACACGCGCCGAGCCGCATCTCCCAAGACTTCCAGCGGCTGGGGCAATGCCTGCGCGGGCCGCCGCAAATGCGCAGGATCAGATTCAGCCGTCTCAGCCGGAAACCGCGTCGGCGGGCTGCCGCCGCCGGGCCCTCGTGGGCGACCCTCTCGCGGGCCTTCGACAGGTCGGTCATGGTTGACAGCGAATGCTCATTCATCGTGACCGCTACGTCGGCATCGCGGGCTCGGAGCCAGACCGCGCCCTCGCAGCAGCGCCCCGCCTCCCCGAAGAAGAAGCCGCCCCTCCTGTGGGTCGCCTCCCACAAGAGCGCGTCGAACCTGCGGATCTTGCCCAGCAGTCGAGCGAGGCTGCCGCGCAGCCAGGTGGGGCGCCAGCCCCCAACTGAGCATGCCAAGAAGAGCGCGAACAGCATGTGCACCTGCTCGGGGATCTTGCTGGCGGCCTTAAGCACTGAAAAGAGTAGCCCACGCGCCTCCACGCCCCCGTCGCCCAGGTGACCGAACGCACGGGGCTTGATCGCGTCCACCCCCAAAGCCGTGACTGGCTTGACGGGCACTGGGGCATTGATGATATCCTCTGCTGCGGGCGGCTTCCTCGCGTCTTCCATGTGGCTCTTGACAAGGCCTCTTCCAGGTCTGTCGGCAGCGCCTCGCCGCGCTCCCGGTGCAACGCCTCCACCCGGCTGTCGAGGGCGGCCGCGACGCCCGCGGGTCCGTCTTCGCCGTTGACGCCCGCCGCCCAGCCCTCAGGGGCGCGGCAGAAGGCACGGGCTGCCCCCCCGCCATCGCGCGCCGCCTCCCGTGCCCAGTCGCGCCGCCTCCTGGGCCCAATCGCGCCGCGGTCCTCGAGCAGGGCTGCGACCCCCTTGGCCTGCAGCTCCAGGCCCTCGATCTCCGCGTACGTGAACTGGTTCAGCCCTTGGGCTGCGTCTTGCTCGCCGATTGTCGGACCTCGCGCGAGCCCCGACGTGGCCAGCTGGCTGCCCGCCTTGGCGTGTATAGCCGTCAGCTGCCGACAGGCTGCCGCCCTCGACCGCGGGTCGCGCAGGCGCCGCCTCGCGATCAGCCCCCCCCCCCCCCCCCCCCCCCCCCCCCCCGAGCGCTGCGCTGACTCTGCGCAAGTGCGCGTGCTTGCGTGTCGCCTCTGGCATTACTTTCGCACGTGGCCCGCTGCTCGGCAGTAGCACCCCCTGCAGCTCGCAGCGCGGCCTGGCCTCGCGCCGATGCGGCAGCCAAACAGGTCAGACTCCATCAGCTTGGCGAACTCCTCGTGGGGACTGTCAACCTAGTCCTGGGGCGAGCGCCTGTCCCTGTCCTCTCGACTCTTGGGGCGTCGGGCACCCAGCATCCTCCCCCCCCATGGCTGGTTCCCCCCAGCGAACCTCGCGGCTCGCTGGCCGCGGGACTGGAGCCGCGCTCTCGCAACAGAGGGACCGCGTCTCCCCGCATCGCCTCTCTGTTGGGACGCCTACCCCACGGCTCTCGCATCGTTGATCGCACAAGCCCCCAGCCTCGCTGCCTCCGGCGACGGCTTCGACCACCCGCTCGTCAGCGGCGTCGACAGTGGGCGCGGGATGGTGAGAAGCTTCGACCACCCGCCCATCGGCGGCCCTCAACTCTTTCCCACAACCTGAGCCCGCACTCGCAAGTTTGCCCTCGCTCTGGCATGGGCCTCGGGTTCCCCCCTCGTCCACTCCTGGGGTACTTCCCTTGTTGAAATCACTCTCGCTCTTTTTTCTTTCGTGAGCGCACGAGGCCCAAGCCTCGTTGCCCCTGCCGACGGCATCGACCGCCCGCTCGTCGGCGGCATCGACAGGGGGCGCGGGATGCTGAGGGGCTTCGACCACCCGCCCGTCGGCGGCCCTCAGCTCTCTTCCACAGCCTGGACCCGCACTCGCGGCAGCGAAGCCTCGGCGCCTGCGAGGAGGCTGAAGCAGCCTGGCCGCTCCGCCAACGTTTCTGCAACATCGCCGTAACGCTGCCTCGCCCAACGCCACGGCGTGGGCCCAGTTCGGGCCGCTGCGCCGACGGAGCCTCCTCACGCCGGCTGTGCGGATCCTCGGTCGATAGTTCCCTGTCGCCCGCGTGACCCTCGGCGCCCGTGGCGTCAGCCTTTCGCGGCCCTTCCACGCGCGTAGCGAATGCCTCCGTTGCCTTTCGCTCCGCCTGTTGCCAGCTCATCTGCGCCAGGGTCCTTCGCAGTTTCTCATCTAGCCAGAGTCTCCTCCTCCTCCTCCTCCTCCTCCTCCTCCTCCTCCTCCTCCTCCTCCTCCTCCTCCTCCTTCTGCTCCTCCTTAGTACGTCAGACAGACCCTGAGCAGGACTCGCAGCGTCGCGCAGCATGACTCATCTGGGCAAGCAAGGCAAACACCCTGAGATAACCAAATGCAACTCACAATCAACATTGTGCAACAAACTGCCGAAAAGGTGAGGCGAGGGACGAGGCGATGTGGAAACAAGGAGAGGCTCACAACGGATTCTAGCCAGCATGGCCTGAGATAATAGGCACACGTAGGTTACCCCCACCCACATCCCCCACGCCGCAAACCTGATCACTCCGAATCGATGGCAGTTCGTGCCCTCGCCGAGGGCAGCTGACTATGAAACTGCCGGCGATCATCATATAATGAGGCTGGTCCACCTCCTCCTCCTCCTCCTCCTCCTCCTCCTGCTTCTACTCCTCCTCCTCCTCCCTCCTCCCCTCCTCCCTCCATCCTCCCTCTTCCTTCCCTCCTCCTCCCCTCTCCCTCCTCCCTTCCTCCCCCCTCTCCCTCCCCCCTTCTGCTCCCTCCTCCTCCCCCCTTCCCTTCCCTCCCCCCCCTTCCCTTCCCTCCTCATCCCTCCTTCTCCTTCCCGCTCCCCAGGAGGCAGATAAACGCCTCCGAGAGCCCTCTGGTGGGGGCACTGAGGATCTAAGCCAGGCTGCTGCCTGGACGAGCTGGGCTTGCGCGATCTCCAGAGGTCCCCAGAAGCAACCGATCTCACGTTTTGCACGGAGATTGCGCCGTGGGCGCTCTTCGTGCCGATCCTCTGTACCGATCCTCGTGCCGATCCTTCGTCCCTCTGAGGACCGCGTTCCTTCGTGCCAATCCTCTGTACCCTCTGCGTCCTCACGCCAGCAAGCCTCAGTGACCTTACCGCACCCTGCGTCTCGGCAAGAGCTCGCCCACACCGCTGCAAAACCTGAACATCTGGGACGACAAAACGGGGCTCCACGGCTTAAACTCTGTGGCGATTCTCCCCCATCCCCTGCGGGAACAACAAACATGTATTGACCGCACCGCTGCTCCCTGGACACCTCCTGGGGTGCGTAAGGAACAGGACTCCGAGGCGAAACCGACCGTGGCGGCGAGGATCGCGTAGCGGCATTGGAATCCTCAGACATCCGACGATGTGATTGTTTCAATGCGCAGCCCCAGAGGTCCCGATTCATTCCCGGGGGCCAGCTTTCGCCAGCGATCAGTGTTTGATGGCCCCAGGGCCCGATATCGGGCCCCAGAGGCCGAAATCTGACAAAAAGCATGGGCTGAACCAATCATCAAACCGTCTGAGTCTGGCAGGGGCGGCCAGAATCCGACGAACGCCCAGATCATTCTGGGCACCCGGGGCCCTGGCTGACCCCGTAAACCTGGTCCGAGAGGATCCAGTGGGCGACTATATACAGTCCTCGGGAGGAGGAGCGGAGGAGGAGGAGGAGGAGGAGGAGGAGGAGGAGGAGAGGAACGGGACGGGACGGGACGGGACGGGCAGGACGGGACGGGAGGAGGAAGGGACGAGGAAGGGACGAGGAAAGGACGAAGAAGGGACGAGGACGAGGAAGGGACGAGGAGGAGCAGCAGGAGGGCCGCAGGAGCGACCCCTCGTCGCGCGCGCGCCTCGCCCTCGTCCAGCGCCACGCGCATGGGGCAGTTCGGGGTGGGGCACGCCCGCAGGTCTGGGGCGGCGGAGACCGCCTGCCGAGGGGCCGCCAGGGCACTGCGGCCGCGGCCGGCGAAGGCGCCGCGGCACGCCCCGCCAGCAGAGGAGGAGGAGGAGGAGGAGGAGGAGGAGGAGGAGGAGGAGGAGGAGGCCTGGGCCCCAGCGCGCGGTGGGCTGCTCTGTGTGTGTTCGGCCCCTTGGGGCCCCTCGGAAGGGCCTCGGGGCCGTCCAGGGAGGGGCAGAGGAGCCAGCCCCCAGGAAGAGGGTCCAAACACCTGCGGGGGGCTGCTCCGGGGTCTCCGACGATCTGTTCTTGTCCGTCCGGGAAGTGTTCATGGACAGCGGCCTCTGGGGCCCGTTCTTAGGCCCTGGAGCCATGAGACCTGGATCCGGAGCGAGAGACTGGCCCCAGGGACTGGGTCGGGACCTCCTTGCGGCCGCGCGTCTACAATGTCGCGTCGTCTGACCTCTGGGGGATGGGATGTTTTCGGAGGTGGGATGATTTCGAAGGTGCTCGTGCGAGGCAAGGGTTTATATCCGCGTCCATCGCAAAGCGAGCCGACACGCTGGGGCCTCGGGGGGGCGCTGGGTATGGACATGATTGCGAGAGTCGTTTGGGCCCCCTGGAAGTGCCCATGTCGCATCCACGACCTCCCGAGGTCCAGGAAGCTCGGTGTCCCAGGCGGTGGGCATGGAGGAACCCCAGCCTGGGAGCCTGGACGTCCTGGCAAGCTATCGGGCCCCGGGGTGCTCTCCACCAGCTGCGCCTCGTCGGGCGGCGACGGGGGGGGCCCAAATCATCCCGAACAACCGCCAGAGGCTTGGACCGTGACCCGAACGTGGAAGGAGGACGAGGATGGGTGTCCATTGTCAGAGCGTGGGTGAGCGTCTGGCCTCAATATGAGGCAAAGGAGCACGAGGCGAATAATCAGGAGGCGGATGAGGAGGATGAGCAGGAAGATCAGGAAGGAGGAGCAGGAGCAGGATAGGCGGAGCAATAAAATCATGGGAAGGCAGAGGGGGAAAAAGAGGGCGGCGGCGGCGACAACAACGAGGAACGCCTATGAGCCAGGAAATTGACAAACACCGTGGGGGGAGCAAATCGCCGACCCTGAAAAGTGACCGACGCTGCGGCGAGTGAAGCCATGTTTGAAGGACCGAACGGGCCCAGCTCGATAAAAGAAACAATAAAGAACACCAAATAATGAAGCACTGCGTATGGGAAGCAGTACGCGACAATGAGGCGAGAGCGCCACTGGACAATGTCAGGGGAGAGAGGGGAACAGTACTCATTTGAGTGGTTCTAGAGGGAGGGGGGAGCAGGGGAAAGGAGGCAGAAGCCAAAGAGGAGGACAAGGAGGTGGGGGAGGGAGGCAGAGAAAGAGGACGACAAAAAAGGGGAACGACGGGAAGCGGGAGGGAGGAGGGAACCGGGGGGAGGGAGGCCGGGGGAAGGGGGAGGATGAGGAAGGGGGAAGGAGGACAGAGGATGAGGGAGGGAGGGAGGGAGTATGGCGATGGTGGCGGCGGCGACCGATTCAGACCCACCCGCTTTCGTAGTCACAGAACTCTCCATCTCACAAAGATGCAACGGCTTTTCCCTGAGGGTCCGTCGCCCAACGGGCCAAGGGCGTGCTGCGATCTCTGATAACACGTATCGAATACTTCTAGTTCGCGCGCGTGGGGTCGCCCATGGGGGGCCCAGGCGAAAAGGACCCTGCCCACTCCATCATCACTCCTCGAACCGACGACTGGGCTCCCGCGTCAAAGAGCTTCCCCAAACATGCGATCCGTAGAATTATGCTTGCCGGCGCGTTGTAAGACATGTGCTCCGTTTTCGCAGGCAGGCCCCCGCGCGCCAGTCCCCCAACCTCGCCTCGGGGATCTTCTGACCCAGGTGAATCCAGACCAGGGTCACTCAGGCTTTGCAGGATCCTGCAAGATCCTGCAGGATCCTGCAGAATCCTGCACCCAAGCCCGGGTCAATGCGCCCTGGGCTCTGCAGGATCCTGCAAGATCCGGCGCGCTGCCTGACCCCCGTTTGCATTGACCCCCGTCTCTTGAGCCCCACCTCGCATACGTGGGGAGATCGCCGTGGCCCGCGGACGTTGCGGTGCGCGTTGCTCGTGCCCGCGGCCGCGCTTCTGACGGCGCTGGGGCGTGTTCCTTCCCCGCCGACGGCGCGCGCCGACGGGGCCGCGGCCGACAGGGGCGGCGCTGGCACTGACCCGCGCCCACGCCCAGGGCACGCCGCTGCAACTGGGCGGGGGGCGCTGCGGCTGCTGCGCATCGCAGGCGGGCGCCTGCCCGCCCGCCCTGCGCACGGCGCCCGCGCATGGCTCGCGCTGCGTGCGTGTTCCTCGCCGCCGCGGCCGCGCGCGCGCGAAGCGCACGCGATGCGCCCGCGAGGGCGGCGGTGGAAACTGCTGAACATCGGCGGCCTCGGTCGCCGCATCCCGCGCAGGCGATAGGTTCGATACTCACGCAGGCGTGGGTGTTCCCGAGGACCCGGCCGAGTCCTGCTGAACTCTGTGCGGAGGGCCGACGCCGCGGCGTTCGCTGTCTCGCGATTACGCTCACCATTCGCCCGCCACTGCGAGCGCCCGCCGCAGCGGCTCCCTGGCAGCGCCCGCTCGAGACGCCGCTCGCACGCTGCTTTCATGTCCACCCTGCGGCGAGACATGCGCGCGACTGTTCCGAGGGAGGCCGGACTGTTCGAACGCGCGCCACGCTTTGCCCGGGACGCGCCCGGCGCGAGCCGCCCGTCTCACCCCCGACTGGGGCTGTGACGGGTGGCGCGCGCCGATGGCGCATGGGGCGAGGCTCGACTTGCGCTCGGCGACCGGCCCGGCATGTCGCTTGTCTCACGCGGGGCAGCACTCGCGAGGCGAAACTTCAATAGAACTGCCAGCCCCGCGGGGGAGGCTGGGATCAGGGTGCGAGGGCGGTTCGCGTCTGGAGAGCCCCCCCGCTACACCCCAGAAGGTGTGACAGGCGGCTCGCGCTGGGAGGGGCCCCCAGCTCGCCCCCTGTCTGCCGCGTACTCTCTGCCCTTTCCTCTCACACGCCGCCCTCCCTCCCTCTCTCGACGATCCTCCACGCCAAAAGATCCCCTCAAAACTGCACACCAAAGTTGCCGCCAACACTGTCGCCCAAACAAGAAACCAGAAGGGCCGCCAAATCATCTGAAAGTGAGCGGGCCCCAAAACTCGTAAGTCGAACTAGCGGGGGGCAGGGGTCATAGGAAAGCCCTCCAGACAGAATCATGTGTTGATTGTAAGTTCGCGGCAGGTCTGGACAGCGCTATCGGCATGGGCCGTCTTAGCTTCTATTACAGGGCTGAAACAGATGGGACTCAGTTTCGGTGCTTTGGCGGACATTTTGGCCCATGGTTTTGGCAACAGTTTTGGCGCGCACGTTTGGCGCAAATGTTGGGGCGCCCTGGTGGTGACTACTTTTGGCTGGCCCTCTTGGGCGCGCCGCTGTGCCCAGGCACTGGCCCGCTAGGCAGAGGGGGGAAGCAACGTCTGAAAAATTACAGGGTGTGACGGGCTGCTCGCGCTGGGAGGGTGCGTGGCCGCCGTCGTCCGTCGGCCCACGGAGCAGAGGGCAAGGGAGCGTGGCAGGGAGAGGGGAGGGGAGGAGAAGAGGGGGCACGGACGCAGATGAGCACGGGGGGAGAGAGACAGGAAAACATGCTGGCAGGAGAGAGAGGGATCGAGGGAGGAACGGGGGCAAGCGCAGGCAGGCACGCAGGAAGGAGGGGAGTGAGAGAGACCAGGGACGTCCCAGGAGGGAGGGAGGGAGGCAGGCAGGCAGGAGGGCCGAAATGCGTTGAGAAACGAAGCGATACCGACACTAGAAACGAGGCAGTGGTTCTGAGCACAGAGACGCTGGAGCTAAGGACCCCGTAGCTGGAGCAATGCCTCTGTGGGACAGGAGCTACCAGCTGCGTGTCGCTGGCACGCGATGTTGTTGAGGCTTCGATCGCATCCCATGTCCTTCGGGTCGAACCCCCGTTTGGGCGTCACCCCCCAGCGGGGCGAGCCCACGAGGCGCCCACGGGCGCCCACCAGCCGACACCAGCCGAAACCCCGGCGTACCCGGTTCCGTGAGGAACGGCTCTGGACCCGCATGCTCTCCACGGGGCCAGGACCCCCGAGTCCCAAGGGCGCCTCGAGGCCCCCGATGCGCTCTGGGGGGCAACATGCTCCCGGATGGTCCCAGGAGCCTGGGCTGGTGCCATCTTGGGGGTCTCTTGGGCCACCTTGGAGGCCCTGGGGGTCGGCCACCTGAAGCCAGAATCATTGAAGCACATACCTTATACGACCGCCCTGCGGGCGATAAGGAGGTTGGGGGGTGATTGAGATCAAATGCCCACCCTGACTGACCTCCAGCCTGTCACCTTGATCTCATCTCTCTCTTTCTCTCTGCTTCTCTCTCTCTCTCTCTCTCGCTATGTCTCTCTCTCTCTCTCTTTCTCGCCCTCTCTCTCTCTCTCTCCCTCTATCAGAGTCTCCCTCCACCACAATGATGATCGCGATGACGATGAGATCCCACTATCTACCTATCCGTCGACCGACCTATCGGTGAATATCACTGAAAAGCAAAATGAGAAAGCCCGCCGCAGGCGCCGAAAAACGATTTGTTGCCGGACAATCACAGGACAACCATCGGCAAAACCACCTGACAACCATCAGGACAATCACAAGATAACACAAAAATGAGTTGATGGATTGGGTTTGGTGGATTTGATTGAATGTGATAAGATGTATTGGATATGATAATATGGGTGGGGTTGGAAGAGATGGATTGGATAAGATAAGATGGATTGGATTGGCCCGCCGCAGGAGCAGAAACAAACGAATTGATGGATTGGGTTGGATGGATTGGATGGGGTGGGATAAGACAAGAGGGGACAATATTGGTTGGATAAGATAAGATGGATTGTATTGGACAAGATGGATAAGATGAGATAAGCTGGATTGGATGAGAAAGCCCGCCGCAGGCGCCGACAAAAATGAGTTAACATATTGGGTTAGATGGATTAGATTGAATGGGATGGGTTGTATTGAAAGAGATGGATTGGATCAGATAAGATGAACTGGATTGGCCCGCCGCAGGCGCAGAAACAAATAAATTGATGGATAAGGTTGAATGGATTGGGTTGGATGGATTGGATTGGGTGGGATAAGGTAAAATGGGGCAAGATGGGTTGGATAAGATAAGATGGATTGGATTGGACAAGATGGATTGAATCAGATAAGCTGGATTGGATAAGAAAGCCCGCCGCAGGCGCCGAAAACAATCAATTGTGAAATTAGCGACATGCGTTAGCGCCGGGACGCCGGGGACACCCCGGACACCCGGGACACCTCCCAGCCCAACTGGGACACCTGCCGGCCACCGGCGGACGGGAAACGGACTTTCGCTCCTACTTCGTGGTGGGTGGTCTCCGTTTCACTGCGATCTCACCCCCCAACCTCCGACCACTTCACACGATTGCAGAACCTTCTGCGCTTCGGTCTTAAAAACGTCCAAGACGGCCCAAACGCACTCAAGATCTTCCCAAGACAGCTGCCGAGAACCCAAGAGGGCCCAAGAGTCTCCAAATCGACCCCAAGAAGAACCCACAAAGCGCGCCACCGCCACGCCGCTGGAAAATCCCCAGACGAGAAGGCCCCGAGACCCCCAAGAGATCCCCAAGGCCCCAAAAGAAGGCCCGAGAGACCTCCAGAAGGCCTCCCAAGAGGCCCCCCACGGCTACCTCAAGAGACGTCCCACAGGACCCTTGTCCACGACCGAAGCACTGCGGCGTCATGGGCCGAAGGCCGTCCCCGTAGTTAGTCTGCCGGAGGGGCGTTGGCGTGCCATTGTGTTATTGCACTGCTTCCAAAACAATCCTGGTGGTATTCGGCTCAAACCGCAGATCATTCGGAAAACAAATCTCCTGTCGGCTTTCCAGCCCAAGATGGCTCCAAGAATATCTCCAAGAGGAAATCGGTCGCAATCAAGTCGGTCCAAGAAAATGCCCAAAGAAGGCTCCACGAGATCCCCCAAGAGGACCTCGAGAGTCAAAAATCATTGATGTTCTTGCATGGTTTACCAATGGTCTTCCAGGATGTCCGAGTGCCTGTGCCGGTCTTAAGGGCATCGACGACGGCCCAAGAAGCCCCCAAGACAACTCCAAGAGTGCCGACAATGCCCCTAAGAGTGCCCAAAACAGGACCCCCTGACAGCCCAAAGCCAGCCACGCCGAGCTCCAAGAAAACCCCAAGACGACCCAGAGAGGCCTCCAAGACAGCCTCCGAAGGCGCCAGACGGCCAAGAAAGAGCCGCAGGGAAGCCGCAAGACGGCCCCAGACGGCCCCGCCCCAGTGTTCAAAAGGCGACGGGGCGGCGATGACTTCGCCCTCGCAGCTTTTTCGATGATAAGCGCACAAGGCAAGAGCGCATGACTACTGAACGGCTATGCTGAAAGAATCCTGGCGCTGTGAAACCCAACGTCCTGGAGCCGACCTAGAACGTAAAGGATCCCTAGGAACTAAGGAACATACATATTGATGACGTGCCGAACGAAGACACACGCAAGGGCGGGAACCGAAAAAAGCGGCGGGCAAGGTGGGCGTCCTTAAGCAAACCATCAGACTCTTAGCAGGAGTGCGGCATCTGGCTTTCACGGGGCGACGCCTTGCCGAAACCACTGCTGTACCGCTTCACAAACTGAGCTGCAACTGACACGGTGATACTCGCAAGATAACGCCAGGTGAAAGGGATACCGCACTGTGCAACGCGCGCTCGCGGCCCCTCCCTCCCCCGATCTCGTCGCCCTCCTTGAGGAGCTCGTCGCCCTCGTCTTGGCCCCTCGCTCGCCCCCGAAGGGTCCAGAGGCGTTCCTGGGAGGCGCTGCGACCACGCGGCCGAGGGCGGAGTCGGGCCCCGGCGGAAGCGACGAGGGGCGGCCCAGCCCGAGCTGGAGCGGCTCGGTCTCCAATCCGTGCCAAGCGGGCGACGATGCGACACTGCGCGCGCGGCCCGCGCTGCGGCCGACCCCAGATCGCAGGCGGGAGGTTACGGGGGGGGGACCCACAATGGGGGGTGAAGAAGAGGGCCCCATCGGGGCCCTTGCGGGCCATCGGGGCCCCTGGGCCCATTGAGAGCCCTTTTTGTGCACCCCCATTCATGGGCCCCTGGGCCCACGGAGAGTTCCTTTTTAGAGCCCTAAATGGGGCCCCTGGGCCCATTTAGAGCCCTGGGCCCATTCAGTTCACCCCCCATTGCCACCCACCCGACCGACCCCAAAGGCAAGCAGCCGCCCGGTACCGCCGAGCCGAGACCCGCGTGGTAGGCCAGAGAGGGCTCGCAAGGGGGCCTCGGTGGAACGGTGCAGCGCCACCGAGCGCATCCGCTTTCAGGGCTCGACCTAAACCTGGCGGCGAGCCAGGGGGGGAAGAGAGAGGAGGCGGGCCTTCTCAGAGGGCTCGGAAGTCCCCGGGCCTTCTGGGAAGTTTACTCAGCTTTCCCCGAAGACGCAAGAACAACTTTCTCAGAAGGCGCGAGGGCTTCTGAGAAATCCCGCCGCCTTCTGAGAAGGCCTTCTCCTTCTCACTTCCCCCCCTCGCTCGCCGCCGATAGACGGCGTTGTTCGTTTCCGCGTTGCGTTCGATGATCCACGTTTCGTTTTCGATCCGCCTTTGCAGCAAAACAAGATCATAACGAAAACGGCCCACGCAATTTCCCAAACCCCGTTTGTAGAGGCCTCCTAGATGGGACCTCCATCAGCGAAGCAATAATGTGTGAGGTGAAAGCACACATCCTACGATAGTGCATTACACGGGCCAGCCGTCAACAGGCGAGCACGTGCTTAGTACATATTGACCAGCTCCCGAGAGAAGGGACACAAACTTGCATAACAACGAACAAAAACAAAAACGTTGTGAATTAGACAATCGACCGTGCCAGGCCCAGATTGACGATCATCTCCGCCCATACCATCTTGTTCTGGCACCTTCCCCAATCTAGACGACGAGATACTTAAGCTATATAGTGATGTCCCGCATCGTCAATGAGCCACTAACCTCCAAATGAATTCCAAACAGAGGGGCAGAAAGCTTGTCATAGACAGCCAAAGTCTGGCATGTAGAGAAGTTGAGGTACTGTTGCCGATGCACTCTTTCCAACTGCGGCAGGTTCCTGCCGTGACGACGCGGACCCTGGTTCCTTACACCGCGTGAGCCATTCAGTCTCGGAGAGTCTCTGACATGAAGGGCCCCACGAGGCTGTGGACCCTGTCCTTCACATGGATGTCAACCCGTGGATTGTCTTCGGTGAGCCCTGGGGCCCGAAACAAGCCCCCCGCGTCGGAGATCGACTTTGAACGCCCGCGCCGGCGGCGCCACAAACCTGCCGTGGCCTGGCAGAAGCACTCCGCCCCTGCCGCCGCAGCCGACTGCACCCGCCCGCCACGCCCCGCCTGCTCCAAGCTGCGGGCGAGCAGCCGCTCCACGATCGCCGGGGGCAGCAGCTTTCGCAGGTCCCTCGGCGCGGGCGCGCGCCCGACCCTGGCTGGGCGGCGACGTCATCGGCCCCCCTCTCGCAGGCCCACTGCTGGCGCTTTCTGCCCTCACAGGGGCCCAGGCCTCTCGGCAGCTCTGCCGCGCGTGCGCCCCGCGTGTGCTCCAGCCTTGCTGCGAATACCAGCGACGACGCCTGCAATGCCCCCTGAGTACGAGATGACCACGTGAGGCGGCGGGTCTCGGCCACTCCCATCTGCTCCTCCTCCTCCTCCTCCTCCTGCTCCTGCTCCTGCTCCTAATCGTCCTCCTCCTTCTCCTCCTCTTCCTCCCTCTCCGCCTCCTCCTACTCCTCCTCCTCCTTCTCCTCCTCCTTCTTGGGCTTGCCGATCTCAGGGATAGGGATCAGTTCGAGGCTTGTCAGAGGGGGGAGCATCGTGGCCCGAGGCATGCGTGCGGACGAGCGGGGGCCGACATTTAGGGCAACAAGCAACGACAGAAAGAGAAACAAACTCGGAGGTCCGCGCGGATTCCTCGGATCGTCGCTGGGGCCTCTTGTTGGCGGCGTGCAGAGGGGGAGGGAGGGGGGAAGGCCTCCTAAACAAGGGTGTTTCTAAGAAGCCTTCTCCTCTCCCCCCACTCCCTTCCGCGCGTGGCTGACCCCGGCGGCACCTCCAGCGCAGCCCCTGGTGCGCTCCGCGCGCCAGGGAAACGCCGATCCGAGGAATCCGCGTGGACCTCCGAGTTTGTACACCCTGCGAAATGCTTAAGAAATCATGGGTTAAGAAATTCATAGTCTCAGAACTTGAATAAAAACCCAAAATTTCCATTCAGAACTTAGGATTTACATTGAAACATTAAGAATAATCGAGACTCTGGCCGAAAATTTAAGTTTTCTTAAGCATCGCCTAAGGTGTATATTCCCCGAGACAGGGTCGGCAATTCCTCCTGGACTCTGTCTGCAGTTCGGAGGCCGATGCCCGCCAGGGGTGCAGCCCGCGCCGCAGGATCTGGTGCGCACACCAGAAAGAGCCGTGAAGCTGCGAGAGTACACTTTGCGGGCGCAACGGGCGGGGCGCCATGGGCGTGTTGAAAGAACAAGACGAAAATAGTATTATTAATAATAATAATAATAATAATGATAATAATAAGAATAATAATAATAATCATCATAACAGTGATACTAGTGATCATCGCCATCATCAGCATCAGCATCAGCATCAGCATCATCATCATCATCATCACCATCATCATCATCATCACCACCATCATCATCATCATCATCATCACCACCATCATCATCATCATCATCACCACCACCATCATCATCATCATCATCATAATCATCATCATCATCATCATCAGCATCATCATCATCAGCATCATCATCATCATCATCATTACCATCATCATTACCATCATCATCCTCATCCTCATCCTCATCCTCATCCGCATCAGCATCAGCATCATCATATTGCTACTACTAAAAACAAGCAAGATATGAATAATGATAACATTCCGAATAATAAGAAACAACAAATTGGACTACCCACACACGCCACCACATTAATGCACGCTTTTTTCACGATCCGCGGTAGCGCCCGTAACAGTGACAGGGACGCTGCCTGGCAACGTCACGATTCGCGCTGGCGGTGTCCAGGAGTGGCAAGAAAGGCAGTGACTTCCGGACGGCGCTTGCGCGAAGCGTGACATTACAGAAGGGCGGCTAACTCCCAGACGGTACTTACGCGAACCGTGACTTTACCGGCCCCCTCCCCCCCCGCAAATACCGTTTTCGCGAGAGGCTAAAGAAATAGGGAAGCAATCCACCAGGCGCCCCTCCCCAGGGGGGGTGCAGGTGGGGTAGGGAGCCAGGATGCACTAGAGAGGCAGGTGGTGGTGGAGGTGCGCTTTTCCTTCCCAGACACAACCCTCGAGTAGGGGATCGACTACAGAATCCCACCAGCCCTCTGGGCGTAGGTGGACTAGAGAGGCTCCCCTTCCAACTCCCTTCTTCCCCTTCGGGAAAGGGTTCACCCCTCCACCCGTACCCCCTCCCCTGGACCTGGACGGGGTCCCCGGCGAGGTGTCAGAGGGTACTTGTTCGCCCAAGATGGCTCCAAGAGCGCCTCAGAGAGCCCAAGATGACCAGGTGGGCCAAGATGCATCAAGATGGCTCCCGAAATGCTCCAAGAGGCCCCAAGACCGCTCCACGGAGCGCCCCCTAAGCGCCGCCAAGAGGCCAGAATCGCTCAAAAACCTAAGGAACATCAATCAATTGTGCCTTCTCGTCTTTTCGCTTTCGATGGCTTTCCAAGGCCTCAAGATGGCTCCAAGAGGGCTCCGAAGAGCGGCCTAAGAGAGCCCCAGCCCAAGCGGCGTTCTTAGGCACTCTAGACTAGCGAGGCTAGTTGGAGCTCCCCTGTGTGTGTGTTTCGATCTTCTTCTAGATGGCCAGCAGAGCGCTCCCAAGGCACCCAAGAGCATCCCAAGAGGGCTTGAAGAGGCGCCCAGGAGGCCCCAAGAGGCGCCCAAAGGGCCTCCAAGAGGTTCCCAAGAGACCCCCAAGACGCCTCAAGAGGACACCCGAGGCACCCAAGACGCTCAAAGAGGCCCTCTGGGCGCCTCGCCTGTGCATGGTTTCTGGATGGGCTGGTGGGGTTACGCGAAGCGTCTAGACTTGATGTACTCCAAAAGTGATTTGTTCGTCGAATCTCCGGGGGGGAAATACCGTAGCACCCCGCAGATGCGGACAAGAGTTAGGGGGCGGTGGGGACGTCGGCGGTCTGCAAGACTCTGGAGAAGCCCGCCGCAGGCGCCAAAGTTTCACAAATTATACAACGAGCCCGCCGCAAGCGGCGATTTTTTCGTTCAACCACTATGGGTAGGTCGCGGGTGGGTCGCAAATGGATCGCGGCTGGGTCGCAGGCGGGTCGCGAGTGGGTGGCTGTTGGGTCGCGGGTGGGTCTCGGGTGGGTCGCAGGTGGGTCGCGGGGTGGGTCGCGGGGTGGGTCGCGGGTGGGTCGCTGTTGGGTGGTGGGTGGGTCGCGGGTGGATCGCGGATGGGTCGCGGGGTGGGTCGCGGGTGGGTCGCGGGCGGGTCGCGGGTGGGTCGCGGGTGGGTCGCGGATGGGTGGCAGGTGGGTCGCGGGGTGGGTCGCGGGGGGGTCGCGGGTGGGTGGCGGGTGGGTCGCGGGGTGGGTCGCGGGTGGGTCGCGGGGTGGGTCGCGGGGTGGGTCTCGGTTGGGTCGCGGGCGGGACGACAACAAACAAACAAACAAACAAACAAACAAACAAACAGCAACAACAACCACAACAACGACAACAACAACAATGAGTTTGAGACTGTTCGCCCTTATATGATCGAGTGTTCAATAACGCGTAGTTCCCAAACCCTCGATACCCGCCCTCTTCGTCTTCGATCGAGCCCCTTTTGGGGGGTAGACCTTTCTTCCCTGCAGGCCGGGCCCCGGCAAGCGGCGGGGCGGCCGCGGACCGTCGGCCTGGCCAGCGGCAGCGCTGTTCGGCGGGGCGGCCGCGGACCGTCGACCCAACCCCAAGAGGGACGGACAGGGGACCGACCACGACGACGACGACGACGACGACGACGACGACGACGACGAAGACGACGGCGACGACGACGGCGACGACGAGCGAAAGCGAGAGCGAGAGAGAACGACAGCAGGGCCACGAAGGCACAGAGTAGGCCACGAAGGGCGACAGCGGGGACACGAAGGGAATGCGTATGGGGCCACGAAGAGCGCGAACGAGCGGGGGCCACGAAGTGCAGATAATGCGGGGCCACAGAAGGCAACTATGGGGCCACTGAGGGTAGCAACTGGGCCACGTACAAATGGCGACAGCGGGGCCACGAAGGGCATGCACATGGGGCCACAACGGGCGCGACTCCTGGGTGCCTGGGTGTCGGGAGCGCGGCGCTTGGGCAAATTGCAGGAAATTCCAACGCAAGGCCATTCTTCAGTAAGTTGCAAGCAAGTCTCCAGCGAGAGCGCGACTCCAGAGCGCCGGGAGAGCGATTCCTGAATAAATTGTGAGGAAGTCCCCCCAGCGAGAGCGCGATTCCTGAATAACATGCGAGGAAGTCTCGGGCGGGAGCGGGGGTCCCCACCACAGATCCCCACTTCAGCCATGCACCCAGGGACAATGAATGACCATTCGGCCCCCTCTCTCTGATAATGTTCGTGGATCTACAAAAATTATACGTTGTTCTCTTGTAGATTCGACGAGACAATCAATTTTCGGGTGCGTGGATCAATGTTGCAGTCGATCTCCCACCCGATTCCCCCCCCATCAGACGTCCGACCATCTGATTTTTCCGGTGCGCGGCCCCCGCCCCAGACCCTGTCTCCCGAGAGCGTTTTCCGCCCCGGATCCATTGCCGGTCGCCCCTGGGGCCCGAAGACTGCCCCGTGATTTTAGAAAAACGCCCAGATTGACAAAAAGCACATCACCGGAAAATCTGGGACACTCCAAAAGTCTTGACCCCTTCCCCTGGACTGGATTATCATCCTGGGTACTTGTTCAACGGTCCCGAAGCCCTGTGGGAGCCCTCAAAGGCTAAGAATAGTGAACAAGCCAAAAGCGTTGTGTGTGTGCGTGTTTGTGTGAACGTGTGTGTGTGTGTGTGTGTGTGTGTGTGTGCTGTGTTGTGTGTTGTGTCGTGTGTGTGATTTGTGTGATATGTGTGTGATGTAGGTTGTCTGTGTTCGGTGTGTGTATGTTGTGTGTGCGTGCGTGTGTTGTGTGTGTTGTGTGTTGTGTGTTGTGTGTTGTGTGTTGTGTGTTGTGCGTGTTGTGCGGTGTGTGTTGTGTGTTGTGTGTTGTGTGTAATGTGTTGTGTTGCCTTATCTTGTCTTGTCCTGCCTTGTCTCGTCTAATAGTGACTTGTCGTGTCCTGTCTTGTCTTGTCAAGTCCTGTCTTGTCGTACCTTGTCTTGCCTTGCCTTGTCTTGCATTGCCTTGCCTTGTCTTGAATTGTGGTGCCTTGTGTTGTCATGTTGTTGTGTTGTGTTGTGTTACGTTGCGTTGCGTTGCGTTGCGTTGCATTGCGTTGTGTTGTGTTGTGTTGTGTTGTGTTGTGTTGTGTTGTGTTGTGTTGTGTTGTGTTGTGTTGTGTTGTGTTGTGTTGTGTTGTGTTGTGTTGTGTTGTGTTGTGTTCTGCGTGTGTTGTGTGTTGTGTGTTGTGTGCGTGTGCGTGTGCATGTGCGTGTGCGCGTGCGTAGCTGTGCGTGTGTGCGCGTGTGTGCACGTATGTGTGTGTGTGTGTTTTGTGTGTGTGCACGTGCGTGTGCGTGTGCGTGTGCGTGTGCGTGTGCGTGTGCGTGTACCGGACCTCCCCCCTCCCTCCTGCCCCGTTTCCGCATCGGTTCCGCGCTCCGGTGCCGCGCCATCGCTCCGCTTCCCCCCCCCCGAGCCCCCGCCGCGTGGCCTGCTGGTCCCGAACTCGGGGGCACATGCGGGCAATGTTTTTTTCCACATCCAGTGCGTTTTGGAGTTTCGGACACTCTTCCCAAGAAACATGAGGCGCACTGGATATGGATTATAATCTGCCTCCAAAAGGCTCAATGTTTATCCATATCCAGTGCGCCTCGGCCTTGCGGCGCCCCTTCCAAGAAAGTCCAAGACGCACTGGATATGGATATATTGCCCGCAGCACACCCGCGGAGATTGCCCCAGTTCGATGCCCTTGGCGTTCCTCCCGCGGCCCCTGCCCGCTCGGCGGGCCCGCCGCCCCTCGGCCCTCCGGCCGCGCTCCGCTCGCCTCGGGGCCCGGGCTGGTCTTGCCGCCTGCGCTCCCCCCACCCCCCCCGCCTTGCCTGGCCTTCAGGCCCCACACCCATCCCCTGGATGTGGTCTCGCACTGCTCTACTTCTACGTCGTCGGCTGCATCATCAGCCCT